GCGGTTTCTGCCTTGAAAGAACTTTGCAACCTTTTCAGAGTTTAGTGGAGAAAGCAGACAGAAAAACCAGAGTTACAGAGCAGCATGGTAAGTGCTAAAATAGCCATGCACTGGTGCTGCAAGCCCATACAAGAGAGGCACCTGAGTTACATAGGAAGGCCAGAGTGCCTCTAGGGAACAGGTGATGTGAATTAATGAAAGTTAGGCAGAGCATGTATTTATCAGTCAGGAAGAGATAAACATCTCTCTAGGTGTTACAAACAAAGATAATTAATCTAGGGATTACTTTTACATAGCTGAGAAACAAAAGAGAAGACAGTGAGGAACTCAAATGAGCAGTAGCAGGAAGGTGCTACCACCCCTAGCCTGGAGGGATGGAGGGAAGAAGTTGTGCTACTTATACCAGACACTGTGCCACCTGGCAGGAGCTGCCCTGCAGGAGCTGGAGGCAAACAAGAGCCCCAGAAGCTGCTGGAAAGGCCCCTGCAGCAGTCTAAACAGAGAGAGAAATATCCTGGCATTTTTCACCAATACTTCCCAACTGGCTGATCTGGCCAGGAGCCATTTGTCACAGGAGCCTGGGGACTGTGGTTCCCTGCACTACAGACAGACAAAAAGGCCTGGAGAAATACTCTGAGAGCAAACAAGGAAATACCATAAAAAGCATAGCAGTATGAGAAAGGCTTACTATATTGTGGGCCAGGCTTAGATGATTTGACACCTCTATATCTCCAAAGGCAGCCAGTGACACTAAATGAAATGACATGACTCCATTTGCAGTTTGGGAAGGACACTGTAGCTAGATTGGATGAGAGTTGACTAGAAGACAGGAGATTTGTCAGGAGGCTAATGCAGTCATCCAGGTAAAGTTCCTAAAAGCTGGAAATAAGCCTGAGGCTGCAGGGATCTCTTATATTTGGTGACTGCTAAGGGAATGAAAGGAAGTCTAAGACCACCACCAGGTTTTGGCCAGTAGGTGGCACTGCTGTAGCAGAACCTCGTCCCTCTGATGCCCAGCCCACTGTGCTTTCACCTATATAGCTTAACCATAGGTAAGTCTTGGGTCCCCTGGTCCCCAGGTCCCCAGTGTCCTAATCTTTGCAGTTAGGGGTTCCATGTCCCCAGTGTTGTGATTCAAGGATCTATTTCAGATTTCAATATTTTCCTCCAGTGTTGCATTTTCTATAATTTACAGCAGCACATTACAAAAAACTTTTTTGTACATTTAACTTGATATATATTTCTGAATTTCAAATTCAAGTACAAGTTCTTATTTAAAAATTACTGGTCATCGTTGTTTTCAAAGAACTCTCATTATGACTAAAATGTTCTGCTCGAAAGTTCATACACCCCAGAATCTAGCCTGTAGACAATGGATTTCACAATATTCCCATCTAAAATTCTTTCTTGTAGTTCTGTTCAAAAATATCTCTGGCAGAGCTCCCACAATTTACAAGACTTGCTACAAAACCACGGATTGAATTGCAGCCCTTGTTAATAGGGTTCATAGTGTTAGTTCTAAATAATGCAACTTGGTATGTTACTTGGAAATTCCAGGAAAAGCTTTCTTCCGTGATTTTCTGTTTCATTCCAAATAACACACAACAATCACATTGTTCAGCTACATTAATGAAATTGTAAGGCAGTGATCTTTTAAAAAGCATGTTGCCCTAATTAGAATCTGATTTGCTGCATGTATTTTTCTGGATCTATACCCTAAAACTTAAATGCATTTTATATAAATATTTAGGATTTTCAGTGTTGTAAAAATCTAAACATCTTCACATTGGAAAAATAGTGGTGGCACGCAGTAATGGGTTGTTGCCTTGGTACAGGTATTGACAAGGCAGGAGAACTGATACAATTTCACATGAAGATAAAGTTACATAATCTAAGTGTGCAAAGCACACATTCTTCCTGTTTAAGAGACTGACATCTTATTCTGAAGGCAGCCATATAAACCTACCATTGTAAAAGTTTGTGTAAAGCAATTTGAGCAGACTTCTGTAACCCACAGAGTAATGGATCTAATTCATTTGAGGAGAATAAGGAAGGAATTCCTAAAGAAGGTGATTCCTGCAGACAGTCTCAAAGTGTTAGACTAATGGTATGTATGCTTTTCTAAACCTGTTCTCACCTTAATTTCTACTACTATGTTACACCGAGCCATCCTTTCGACTATATTGTTTTACTTACTGTACAGTGACCAGTCATCTCAGTTTGCCAAGAACTTTCCCAGTTTCAGCCATGAGAGTCCCACATGCTGGGAAATATCATACCCCTGGGTATATCGGGACAGCTGGTCACTCAAATATACTGCTTCCCAATCATACTTATATTTCTGACTCTTCCTTTGCTTGTGCCAGTTTCTCATCTAGAATGAGCTATCACCTTGTCACTGCCTTGAGTTCATCACAGGGCCTGCATAGACCTTTGTGCCCAACAGAGGCTCATGAATTGATGAGTTGTTTGATAATAATACATAAATGTTGGCATCTCTTCTTTTAAACATGGCATTGAAGCACAGATTCCTAAAATCACTTACTCAATATTTTATGACAGTACTGAGTCTCGAACCCAGGCCTGGCCCCATATCTTCCACAGAGCATTCTCAAACTACACAGCATTTAAGTTAAGCACATTCCTGTACCCTTTGAGCCCTCAGGGTCAGTTTAACAGTTTCATCCTGGGTTATGAAAGGTCTCCTAGTGCCCTCTAGTTGTGGTGTCAGTAATCTGTCTTTGTCCAACCACATTACAGGATAAGGGATCCTGCCTGTTCTTTTGTATGCAGTGTAAATCATGACAAGACTATTTCTACATAATATGCAGCCAGTCAGTGTTTGGGACTGGACTTGACTCCGTATAAAGTAACTACTTTGTTTCCGGATTCTGAAAAGGTGAAACAACCACAATCCCCACCCCTCCTAGAATAGGTACAGGTGGACAGGAGATGCTGAGTGGTGGGCTCTTTTGCAACTGGGTAGATGTCACATCCAGTCTCAGTGCTGGGATGATTCAAGACTCAGTTTATGTGGCTCATTCAAATGCAATCCATAGCTCTTCAGGCTCCTAGTTGCCCCATTAGAACATTAAACTGCAGAGAGCATGTGGAAGCCCATCAGGCTTCTGATTAATGGAATTGGGTGACTGAACTTCAGAAAGGCTCCAGAGGTTCAAGTTTCTGTAGTGTAATTGGTTTCAGATGGAATCAGTCCTTTAATTATGGCTGTCCCTGGGAATCCCTCCTAACTGGGCATGACACAAGGGCAAATAAAAATGAACCCATTTGGGAATTGGTAGAGTGGAAGCCCATCAGACCTCTTTGCATGAAGTCAGATTTTCTCCTGCACTTGAAAAGGCTAAGTTAAATTGGGACCTAACCTCAAGATCTGTATACAACTTTCTCCTTCTCTTCTGTTTTTAATTTTACCTGTGGAGGTAATGGCATTTAACTAGCATCATTGGGATTTCTGGGATTTCACTTGAGTTGGGGTTATGTCATGAGGTACAGAAGTTGGAGTCAGACACCTGAGGTGTTTGTCCCACCTCTGCCTTTCTGTTTGATCATGAGTTTGATGCAGTAGAGAAGAGCACAGACTTTGGAGGGACAGCTGCGGGATCCCCAGACAGATTACCTAATCTGCCCAAATGGCCATTACATTATCTACAAAATGGAAGTCATTCTATCGACCTCTTAGGTTTGCAGGAGTCCTCAGTGGCACGCTGTTTCTAAACCACTTAGTAGAGGGGCCTGACATGTAGTAAGCCCTTAATAAATGGTAGTCTTCTGTGGTTATTATGGTTATTATCATAAGCCCTTCCTTTCTTCATTCATTCACTAGTCATTTATTGAGAACAGGGCTACTGTGACATTTCAGCTGTCACTTGAAGGCCTAGGAAGGCTTGACCTGATGGCAAGAGTTAAGGAGAGCAGACTTTTCACTTAGGGGAAGTGTTAGGGCAGGGGAAGACAGAAAATCATGAACACAGGTGAGTGGTGGGCTGCAGGGCATGTGGGAGGAAAGAAGAAGGTTCAGTATTTAATTAAATTTTTGTTTCTGAATTTCTAGTACTTCAGTATTATCCTCATGTTTCTCTCTTCCTTGGCGAGTTAGAATGCTGCTGACAGGAGCCCCTCACTAGTGTGGTTTCTTGCATACAGCTGACCTAATGCAACCTCAGCTTGGTCCCTCTCACTCCTGTGTCCACGGAGCATTTTGTAGCTCGCTCACTTGAGTTTGAGGTATTTTATAAACAGTAGGCAGCTGAGAGCACCTTGGTCTCCATCACAATTCCTTGCACTAGATCTCATGTATACTAAGCACTCAGCCTGTCTACTAGGTGTGTTAAACTTCAGTGGACATTTCGCTGACACATTTTGAAATTGTTGCTTTTTTATTATTTGAAACTAAAATTTTCTTTTTTTTTTAAATAAAGAGAAGATAGTCTTGAATGATGCCTTGGCTTTTTCCAGAAGTTTTTCAAAACTTTTCCTTAAACAAGTTTCAATGGATTCAGGAGTTTACCCTCATATTGAAAGCACCAACCATAATTATCTTTTTAAAAAGGAATGTATATTTCCATTCTTCCCTTTAATTTATCATGAAATGAAATTTTTAAATGAAATCTTAACTTAATTTAAAACTTTTTTTTTTTTGCCCTGGCAGGCGTGGCTCAGTGAATTAAGTGCTGGCCTGTGAACCGAGTGGTCACAGATTTGATTCCCAGTCAGGGCACATGCCCTGGGTTGAGGGCCAAGTCCCCAATAGGGGATGTGTGAGATGCAACCACACATTGATGTTTCTGTCTCTTCCTCCCTTCTCCCTCTAAAAATAAATAAATAAAATCTTTAAAAAAACACTATTTTTATTTGATTAGCCCATTTATAGGTCATGTCTTTTTGTCTGTTAGCAATTGTTAAACTAAATAACTAGCCCCTGCTTACAAAGGCTCTTCCGTGGGGGAAATGGCTAAATCCTGTTTTGTTTCCTGCTGCAGACAGTGGCCACAACTGAGGAAGAGCCCGATGTGCAAAGCAGGTGTGAAAGCCAGGCAGGCAGCAGCCTCAGAGATGAAGACCTGTACCTGGGACCAGTGGACACCAGTACGTACGTGGGGTTGAACCACGCTGCCCTGTGGCCACAGGCTTCTGGCCCTGAGAACATGACAACAGCCCAGAATGGCCATGGGCGAGTTGCTGCAATCCCCTGTTCAGTCTTGGAACCACCAGACCCCAACACGGTGATTTACCCGGCCTGTCAGAAGGGAGAATGCGGTGGCGACACGGAAACCCAGGACTCCAGGCTGGGCCCCGCCAAGCTTGTGCGCCTCTTCTCAGTGAGCAGGAAGAAGACAGGTGCCAACCCCGAGAGGCCCCGCTCCATGGTGCTGATGGGGCACTCCTCCACCTGGAATGCCCTGGCCTCCTTTCGGAAGATGGGATCTTTTAAAAAACTGAAGTCCTCTGTCCTTCAGGGAATTCAAAACCGAGAGGGGCCCTATGCAGCCAAAGAGGAGGCCTCAGAGCCTGATTTGGGCCCAGTCCTCCCCAATGGGACAGCTGTGATAATCCCAGCAGACAGGTGTGGCTCCTCGGAAGCTGCCAGTGGGCTCCCCCAACCTGGCCCTGCATCGGACAGCTCGGAGCCGGAGCCAGAGGAGGCGGACGACGCCTTCCAGAGGAGCACGCACCGCTCCCGCAGCCTACGCAGAGCCTATGGCCTGGGCCGCATCAGCCTCTGGGACTTCGAGCACCACGGCCTGCCCTTGCCCTCTGCCATCCAAGAGCCCCCAGTGTGCGCCATCCTTGTGAAAGACTCCGAGAATAACAGCATCTCCTCCCAAAGGAGCAAGAGCACGGACAACCTGAACTTCCTGAGGAAGGGCTCCTTCAAAAGGAAGTCTGCCTCCAACCTCTCGGACCTGAGGATGGTGCCCGACAGGCCCACAACCCAACGAACACTAAGCAGCTGCTCTGCAGACTCAGAGAAGCTCGGAGGGTCCGAGAGGAGGACAAAACGCTGGAAGAGCCCCATCAGGGCCAAGGACTTTGACCGGGTCCTCAAGCTGGTGAGCAGTGCCACAGAGGCAGCCTTGAAGCGAGAGCGACCTAGGAGTCGGGTGGCCAGCCCCAGTGACACTTCCCCGAGGCCCAGGCCCTGCAGCCACCTGCACGAGGACTACTCGCGCCGGGTGTCCAGCAGTGTGGAGCTGGAGCGCAGGAGGTGTGCCATGGCCCCAGGCTTCAGCCCGGCCTGCCCACGGGGCCCGCAGCTGGACGTGGACACCTCGGTGTTTCCTCTGGAGGCTCAGAGCACCGGTCCTTGCGCTGGCAGCTCAACCCCAAGTTCAATTGCCCAGGAATTATCGCACCAAGATTCCCAGGAACCAAAACCTGCCAGCCAGTTTATGTTGGAACCTGAGCATCCTCTCACGCCGCTAAGGCCCACCACACCCAAGCCCCCTAGTCCTCAGAGCCCAGGCACAGGAAATGCCAAGTGTGCCAACAATCTCAGTGCACTGTCCCTGAGTTCAGTGGACAGTGACGAGAGGGCAGAAGGTCTTGTGTCCTTCCCAGATTCGGTGCAAGCCACATGTGACAAAGGCAGTAAGGATAGTGGTTCCAGCAGCCACCCTCAGCTGAGCCTCAGTGGGTCTTCGGGTCTAGAAGAAAAGGAGGAGGAGGTAAGTGCAGAGCAGGGACCTGTTGTACATGACCCACTGTGTCAGAGTGGTTGTGACAGCGCCCCCCTTCATCCCTGCTGGAGGCTACCGCCGTACATAGGTGTTTTCTCTTGGCAGAGGTGGGCCCTCTGCTGATTGTGTTGCTATCACAATTGTTCATGTCAAGTTGCTGTTTACCACATTCAGAGGTCATCTTTATCTCTTTTTAAATGAATTACTAATTTAGAAAATTCGTTGAGATGGCACTTACTACGCCATTTATGCAAACGATATTTTATTGAGCACCAACTACGTGCTAGATCGTGTGTGGTGGCATGTGTAAGGGGGGGTGAAAAAGACCTGTCTTCCATTCCAGACAGCTAATGGGGACTCTCAAAATTTTGATTTTTGAAGCATTTGCTATTACCCATAGATTTCTCTTTTTTCGTATTTAAAATGGTTTCTGTATTCTTTTCAACTGAGTGCGTACACTAAATGAGATTCTTTGTGTTGAAAGATCATTACATGTTCTAAGTCTGTTTTTCCCCCCTAGGAATGAATTAGAAATGTGCAGTTTGATACCTGCCAAGCTCTGAATAATGACTGTTCAAATAAATTTTTATGATGGGCTTTGTACTTATTTTTAGAGGAGAACATAAGCATCTCATGAATTGATTCAACTAATAACTGTCAAGGCCACAAACACAATGTTCTTTTCACACCCTGTCAAGCATCCAGACAACTTTACCTAACTGTATAATTTTCACTTTATAAATGCATTAGGTAATATTACCTAACAGAGTTGAAAGATGAAGGAATGCATCCACGTGTATGTATTGCAAATTATTCTTCACATATATTTCTAGACTATTTTACAGGTGTACATTGGTGCTTGCCATGGAAAATAATTCCCTAGCAACCGCTCCTTCCCACTGATCCCAGGACAGGATCTTAGTGTTGGCTTAATGCTGCCAATGAATGAATACACATCTTTTGCAAGCCAGGACAGCCTCTTTATAGAGAGACTTAGAAAGCAAAGCCTACTATAGATGACTTTCAGGAGATCTAAATGAGCAGTGAGTTGACCTCATTTTTGTGGATCTAGGTAAGTGTGAGACCTTAGGGCCAGAATGTCTTCCAGAGATCTCATATATGAGCACCATTTGCTCATTTGCAGATTTCCAAAGAAGTCTTATGGGACAGTTGTGAGGACACCGGACTTGCCAGCAGATCTGGGAAGGCGTTCCAGTTCTGCTAGCTCTACTTTATATAATTGGCCAAGGTCTGCCCTAGTCTGGGCTTCACTACTTCCTGGTTGATGAGACAAAGCACACAGTTTCTTCCACCAAACACCCTGAACTGCCACACTGGTGGTTTGGGACACCATCCCCCAAAAAAAGGACTGGCATAGGTCCAGAGTGTTTTTATGTTAAGGTGGGGATTTTATTTTTTGTTTAACAAAAGTAGGTAAAAAAATCTTTAAAATATTTTATTTCTGAGTACTTATTAAGTGAGCATAAGCAAGCCTTAGTTTTGAACTTAGTTACTTCCTCAAGTGATTTGACCATTATAAAGTTTTACATGAATATGTGCTATCCTTAGTTATATATCATTTAACTGCTACCCACAAAGGATCACTAAAGATAGAAGGCAGGGCACAAGTTATTAAAATTGCACACATGTTGATAGATAATTCTACAAATTTGCCTCAGGACAATAATCACATTTTTAAGTTACATTCATTTCCTCAAAATTCTTATATAACACATCAAGCTTCCTTTTGTACTTCTAATATAAATGTCAAGAAGAGCAAAATATAATGATAATTTTGCCAATTTTTATTTTGTATATTAGTAATCATCAGTTTTACTTGAAGAGAAGTGCTTGTACAATATAACCTGAAACTTTCTTTTATTAAATTTTTCTAAACAACAGAAATTTATTTTGTGACAGTCCTAGAAGCCAGAAGTCCCAGATTTTCTCTTTTATCTTGACATTTAGAAACAAAATGAAATAAAGCAAACAACAAAAAAACTTTACAAAATGCAAGAATTCCAACCTGTATAGGTTAAAAGCAGTTTTTGTCTATGTTGTATAGCATTACAAAAATTAACTTTCAATCTTTATTGTATCTTTATATGCAGTATGGTTCTTTTTAGAAACTTATTGATAGCATGGTTCTACTTTCATGTTTAAAGCTAGTTTAAGCTTTGGCTATGGTTGAGTAGAAAAAGGTTGAAACCTGTGTATATTCTGATATTTAAACTATTATAATGACATTTCCAATAAGGGAGAATAATTTTTTATTTAGAATAATTTATTTGTATCTAGCCACTCTAAAAGTGACAAAATATTTTTTAAAACTCTAGGCAGTTAAAAAAGATTTTATATTACTGTGAAAAAGTTGGAAAATGTCAAACTACCTTCATTTATAGAGCTTTGTAGAAAACTCACCTAAGTCCCTAACGTTATACTTCTGCCACCTAGTGGTAAACTTTGTTGTAAGAGCAAATATCAGTTGAGTGAATTCCTAAAATTTTTGCTTGGTTTAAGTATGCATTGTAACATTTATACTTGTACAGAGTGCTCCCTGAACATTATAAAGGCACAGGCACAAGAATTGAGTGCTACTGCGGGTTTCCTACCAAGTCACCCGATGACACCTTTGGCTGAAGGGGGTCAGCGGTAAAGGGGCCCTGTCCTCACTTAGGCAGTATGGACTCAGTAGCTGGTGATAGTGTGATGGTCAGCCTTTTTCATCTTGTGGCACATGTAAACTAATTACTGAAAACCTGTGGCACACCAAAAATATATTTTTTTGGCAATCTGACAAAAAAAATTGGTATAATTTTGGTTCATTCACACCAGGCAGCTATTGTGTTGGCCGTTGTCATTTTTTAATTTGACAATCTAAGGGAAAAGAGATTAGTGCCCCTGGCTAGTTGGGTATTGAATGTTTTAAAAATTATTGCAGCAAAACAGTTGAAAATTGCTGTCATAGATGAGACTCTTTTAAGTGATGAAAATCCATGGTGATTCCTTCACAGGAGGCTTTAGTCTTTTGGTAAATGTTTCTTTCTAGTTTGGTTGGGACCCTGGTTCTGCCATTCAAAAGATACCTAACGTTGAGCAAACTGTTGAACTTTGGTTGACTGCAGTCTTCTCAAGGGTAGAACATGGAATAGCTTTATGACTTGTAAGAACTAAGGAAATTATACATGTTAAAAATGACCTCATGTTTAACAGTGGCTGCCACTCTGTGATGATTACTATTACTATTACAATTTTTCCATCCTAGACTGATTTGACTACTTAAGATATGGGCCAGTTAAGGTCAGTTTTTTTTTTCTCCACAAAACTGGTTTTTAACATGCCGCTGTATAATATAGCCGTATGGATGATTGTGAAGTTCCTCAATTAGTTTGACTTCACATTAATTTTTTTAATGCATAAGAGTTAGGCTTTACCATAGCCTAACATTTATGTTATTTTAATAAAACACCAAACTAACTTTGTTAAGCACCTACCAAGTATAAGACACTCAGTTGGGTATAGCTCTATAAGGTAGAGCAGGTGATGACAAGGAGATTATAGATGAGCTAAGATGTATCTGCATCACAGTAGAACTCTGCAGAATGGATTAAATCCCATAAAAGAAAATAAAACCATAATGCTGTAGGGTTTCAGAAGAGTTGTAGTTTTTACCCATGTACCAAATAAAGGAAGGCATAGTAAGGGTGATCAAATCTGATTTGAAGAAGGTGAGATTTCTATAGTAGTTTTGGAGAGAAAGGTGGGGCATGTCAGTGATCAGATGTACAGAGATTTTGTGTGATTTGAGAAAATAGGAAGTAACATAATTTTGTTTGGTGTGGGGGAATGGTCTGAGGTAAGATGAAATCATTAAGTACAGATCATGGACACTCTGAAATTCCCAAGTAAAGAATCTACACATTACTTGGTAAACACCGAGGCATCAAGCATGTTTTTGAACAGAGAAGAGCCAGACTCAGAACTATGTTTCGGAGGAATTAGTCCACCATTGGTAAAAAAGAGAATTGGGGAAAAAAGCAGCCAGAGGGAAAGCTATCAGGATATGTTGTCAGTGAGAGTTCAGAGGTAATAAGGCTGTGAAATAGAATATATAAGGAAGGAACAGGAGTGAATGAAACAACACATCATATATAGTAATATACCTTGTTCATTTATTACCAAGCAACTACTATATGCCAGACATAAGGACAAAAAAGAGGCTTTTTGTTGTTGGTTGGTTGGTTTGTTTTTTAAAAGCTACTCCTATTCTCATGAGTTCACAGTCTAATTGGCAGATTGGAATGTATACAGATCATTTGATACACTGTGATAAGAATTTCAAATGAGGAATGTACAGAGTAGCACAGGAGCTGCAAAGAAAGAAGTATTAACGCTGGGTGAAGAATGGCATTATTGGGGAAGAACAGTTGAGTGGAGTCTCAAAGATTATGCTGGGGGTGCAGGGGGCAGCAGCTGAGGAGCAGCAGGGCCTTCCAGGCCAATCGTAAAAGCATGGGGGAGGAGGCAGGCATTGTAGACTGGGCAACAGTCAGCCAGAGGAGTTCTCTAAGCTTCATTTTCCTCCCCTGTAAACTGAGGTGGTAAGATACCTACCTACAGGGTTTATGAAGATTAAATGAGGCCATCGTGTAGAGTACTGAGCACTGAGCTTTGCAAACACTAAGTGTCCGCAAAAAAGGCTAATCTGTTGTGCTAAGGGAAGGCACGTTGCTCACCATAACTTTTGTCTAGTGTGGTTGGGTGGAGAAGTGAGAGATAAGATTGGAGAGTTAGGTCTGTATATAATTAGGAAGGTCCTTGCTTGGACCTGTGGAGTTAGAACTTTACCCTGCAGGCATTAGAAACCCCAAGAAGTGTTTAACCGGGGACTGCAGAGGAGGGTCAGGATGGGGTGGCCTGGGAGAGACGGTGCTCCTCACTATTCTAGGTCAGAGGTGATGAGATCTATGCTGAGGCCAGGGAAATAG